CAAAAGCCTTCCCTGTGGGATAAAATGGAAGAGGTCGTTAATACAGAGGAGAGGTCCTAGGAAGCTACCTTGTGGCACACCTGTCATCTTTCTGGGATAAATGTCTTGCCTTTTAAGGAAGCACTTATCGGTCGTGTAGGTAATCTTGTAGGAGTGTCACCGAGGGAGTGGAGTTTCACCAGCAGGGCTTTGTGCCACACCCAACTGGACACTCGCAACTGACTTAAGATCTCAGTATAAACATCGATGATATCGTGTTTTGTAGCGACTGTGATACAACATGAAACAATACATTAAAATAGGGATTTCGGGACGCTTACAAAGAAGGCCTTTAACTATTCAATCTAACCTACTGGAGACCAGGCTCCTATTGCTAGAGGTACGCTCAGGAGCGGCAAAATGAAGGTCGGGCACCATATTCTTCTCCTGGGATTGTATGTGTAGGAGGTACTAACACCTCTATTTTATAGTGTAGTTGAATTACAGGTGGCGTCAGTAATACATTTAGTGGCTGTTCTCTTAATTTCTAAGAGTACACACACTAGTTATAAGATACACTAGAATAACGATACACAATGAACGGCGCTGTGTGGAACACTCCCGGCCGAGCCGGGAGCGGGCAGCTCAGGTCAGAAGCGGTCACAGGAGGGGTAGCTGAAGGTGTGTGTGAATGAGGAGGGTCAAGGGTCTGACGACCTTATATATCCCTTGGCTGACGGCGTGGCCTCTATATTGAGAAGAGCGTGGTTTGGGCGATAGCATGGCGTGGAGTATGCACGTGGTACGCACGTGGAGGCATGGTAATGCAGTAATGCATGAATGAATAACTTATATTCCCCAAATGACACAAAATAAAGTGAAAATTCTCGTTGTGCGACATTGCCTCATCACATTTTGTTCCTCGCAAGTGAAATATCCTGACACGTCCTCAAGACACCGAGGGATTAGCACCTGCCTCTCACGCGGTCCTTCATCTTCTCATCGACGGGCGCTGCGGGATGCACGGGAGGGTTTACGACTGGTGTGCAAGTTGCCAGATTGTCATTATTACTGATGTTATTATTATTATTGCTATTGCTATTATTACTAGTATTATAATCATTCTCATTATTATTATGATCATTATTATTATTATTATTATTATTATAACAATTATCATTGTTATCGTTGCCATTAACACTATTGTTATTATTGTTATTACTACTACTATCATTGATAGTATTAGTACCATTATTTATTACAAGGTTATATGATTAAATAGCTCACAAGGTAACTGAGTCATATGTAATGAAATCATAAGTACAGCGATGAATGTAATATTATAATTCAGTCCATTTGTCACTTGAGAAAACGAGAAAACGAGAAAGCGGGGAAGGGGCATAGGGGATCCTTGTCGGGGTCTGTTATTGTTCAATTTATTAGTTATCTTTAATATTATCAATATTTTGAATATTATTACTATTATTACTATTATTACTACCCTTATTATTATTATTATCATCAACATCAAAATCATTATCATCCATCATTATCATCATCATTGTCATCATCACCTTCCCACAGCCTGCCGCCTTTGATGTGGGGCAGCGTCGGCGGGGGTGGCAGAGGTGGCGTCCACCCGGAGCGACTACCCGAGGGTTAACCTCAGGCGGGAAGTCAAGGTGGGGGCTTGGAATGTCCGCTGGCAGCGGCACGACCAGTGTAGGTGGCTACACCTATTACTGGTGAGGAAAGAGCGATGGTCACCATCTCCAGGGAGTAGCCATAGCTGTCTCCGGTAGGCTCCAGCCCTCGGTGGTAGAGGTCACTCCAGTCGATGAGCGTAAAATGGTAATGAGACTGAAGCTGTCTGTGGGCTTCATGTCTCTTATTGCTGTGTACGCTCCTACCGATGTTTGTAAACTTGATGTGAAAGAGATGTTCTAAGCCAAACTTGCATCCGTGGCAGACAGTTGTCTGCACGGCGAGTTTCTTATTGTTCTGGGTGACTTCAATGCGGTATCTGGCTGCGATCGAGTTGGCTATGAGATGTCAGTCGGTCCTCATGGTTCGGGAGTTGATACCGGCAGCGAGAATTCCCTCCTTTTCTGGGATTTTGCAAGATCCCAGAAATTAAGGATTTCTAGCTCCTGGTACCAGCGCCCAGACCCACATCGTTGGACATGGTACAGCGATGCGGGTAACGCAGCCAAGGAGATCGACCACATTCTCGTTAGCACTCGTTGGAGGATCCTCCAGAACTGCAGGGTGTATAGGAGTGCTGAGTTCTGTGGTACTGACCATAGATTGGTTGTGGCTACCCTCCGGGTACACTTCAAAACTCCCCAGCAGCCCAATGACCACCCTAGGGTGTTTCATCTGGACAGGCTGAAGGAGAGGGAGTGTGCTCGGAGGTTTGCTGAAACAATTTCTGATTGGTTCACAGCGCTTGACAATCTGACGGACCCTGTACTCCTGTGGGACACCTTCAAGCGTGAAACGCTTGATGCAGCCCAAGAATCGATTGGAGAACGCCCGAGAGCAAGACAGAATTCAATCTCTCAGAAGACACTGGAAGCCACAGATGCTTGCCGTGCGGCTCGTCTGGCAGGGGATCGGGATTTGCACCATTCTCAGGTGCGCAGAACTCGGTCTCTGTTAAGAAGGGACAAGGAACAGTTTATTAGGAATCTTGCTGAGGAGGTCGAAGGCCATTTCTTAGTAAATGACCTTCGTCCTGCATACCAAGCCCTGAGAAAACTGAACTCCAAGCCCTCTTCACAGGTGACTGCAGTTTGCTTAGTGGGTGGCCAGATCGTCTCAGATCCTGTTGTGGTAAGGGAGCGTTGGGCTGAGTAATTTGAGCAGCTGTATCAGGCTGACCCTCCAACAGTTAACTTGGATGTGAGTAGTGCCGTGATTCCGCTGCCGGACCCACCCATTAGCGAGGACCCTCCCTCCCTAGCTGAGGTTAGGGAGGCGATCTCCAAGCTGAAGAGTGGTAAAGCAGCGTGTATTTGCGGCATCCCAACTGAACTGTTAATGACTGGTGGTGAACCTATGGCGCGGCGATTGCATGCTGTCCTGGCTGCCATCTGGCAGTCCGGTACCGTTCCCTCTGACCTGTTGAGGAGTGTGGTCATCCCTCTCTGGAAGGGGAAGGAGGACCGATGGGACTGCAGCAATCACTGCGGCATCACACTGCTCAGTGTACCAGGCAAGGTTCTTGCCCGCATCCTTCTGAGGCGTATCAGAGACCATCTACTAAGGCATCAGAGGCCAGAGCAATCCGGATTTACTCCTGGTAAGTCCACAATAGACTGTATCCTTGCGCTTCGAGTCATTGTGAGTTCGGACGTGGGTTGCTTGCAGCCTACATCGACCTCAAGAAGGCGTTCGATACAGTGCATTGGGAATCACTCTGGAAGATCCTGAGACTGAGAGGAATTCCAAGGATTATTGAACTAATAGCAAACCTATATACTGGTACTGAAAGTGCTGTAAAGTGTGGTGGGGGCCTGTCGAGTTTCTTTCCTGTCAGTTCAGGAGTGAGGCAAGGCTGTGTTCTTGCACCAACCCTTTTCAACACTTGCATGGACTGGATACTAGGCAGAGCTACTGTTCAAAGTCATTGTGGAACAACACTGGATAATACTAAGGTTACAGACCTTGACTTTGCCGATGATGTTGCAATTATATGTGAGTCTTTGGAAACCTTAGTGGTGGCCCTTGATGCATTTAGTAATGAGGCGAAGCCCTTGGGTCTAGATGTCTCCTGGACCAAGATCCAGGACTTTGGGGACTTGCTAGGAGAATCTGTTCAGTCGGTTCGTGCTTGCAGCGAGGACGTTGAAGTCACAGAGAGCTTTACATACCTTGGTAGTGCAGTTCATAACTCTGGGCTGTCAGACCAGGAAGTTAGCTGACGGATTGGCCGGGCAGCAGGGGTCATGAACTCTCTCGACAAGACTATTTGGAGATGCTGGTACCTGTGCAGAAGGACCAAGCTACGGGTTTTCAGGGCCATGGTAATGCCAGTTTTGCTCTACGATAGTGAAACCTGGACATTATCCAGTGCACTGAAGTCTCGTATTGATGCCTTTTGTAATAGGTCCTTGCGCCGGATCATGGGGTACTGTTGGCGGGATCATGTGTCTAACCAACGGTTGCACCGTGAGACTGGCACAGGACCTGTTACCTGCCCAATCTAGGATCACCATCTCAGGCTATACGGCCACCTGGCTCGCTTTCCACAGGCTGATCCTGCCCATCAGCTTGTCTCTGTATGAGACAACCCTGGGTGGAGGAGGCCTGTGGGACGACCTAGGAGGTCGTGGCTTGGGCAGATCGATCAAACCTGTCGGGAAGAGCTCGAGATGGGCCGGGCCCCTGCCTGGCGACTTGCCATGAGGGATCCCAAAAGGTGGAAGCAGAAGGTGGACGCGGCTATGCGCCCCCGTCGGCGTTAGCTCCGGATGATGATGATGATGACCTTTACTATTATCACTAATAGTAATATTGTTTTTCTTATCATTGTTACTATTATTACTATTGTTATTACTGCTATTATTAATACTATCACTGTTATTATTATTATTTAGATATCAATTACTTTAATTACTTTTACTAATATTGCTATTATCATTATCACTGTTACATTTTATAGTAGTAGCATTGTTATTATACCAATTATCATTATTTCTATGGATATTATCATTCTCTGTTTTAATATTATTATATTCCGTACCATTTCTTAAAAATCATGTTATTACAATTATCAATTATACATGATTCTATAAGGTCGCCGATGGATGTAAATATATCACGCAATCATTAACTACATTTTTGGAAACAAGAAGACAAGCAAAATCATTTGTAGGCGAATTAGAGAATCCTTATCGATGTTTGACGTGTGATTCTGCATTCGGTGCAGCTGTTTAATAGTGTATCCAGGGGGTTATGTGGCAATGTCGCTAAATAACATATCATGAAGTTGCCCATGAAAGAGAAAAAGGATACCATTTTTTTTTTTTTTTTTTTTTTGCATGTTATTAAGGTGTCATCACGTGAATCATTTTGACGGTTCATTTATTCTTCTTGTCCAGTTATACACAAACACCAGGTCCTGAAAAACCGTAGCTGATATACAGAACAGCTTGGTCCTCAAATGGCTAATCCAGAAAACGTAACTAGAAATGGACTTCACCATTTTGTT